ATATATATATATATATATATATATATATTAGTTATTGTATTTTTATGATTGTAATATTAGTTTAGTTTTAATTACTTTTATTTTCATCATAAATATAAATTATATATATCCAATTGAACTTATATATACAAGAAAAAAACGACAAATGGAATTCAAGAAACTATTAAAATATGTTTGACAAAATAGTTGATTAGCTAGTTGGTAGTTAATAAACTAACTGGTAACTAATAAGCTAGTTGATTGTTGTTAAGTTAATTGATAGCTTATAACCTAACTGATTAACAAATTATTTTTGGTAAAAGTTAATTGATTAACAAATTATTTTTGGTAAAAACTACCTGATAAAAATGTAAAAATGATTAAAAAAGATCTCTTAAAAAATTAATCATTTAAAATATTTCAATGTAATTAAAACAAAGTTATAATAATACAATATATTAAGTAATACAAATAAAATGGTAGAAAAATTTAAAAAATATAATATATTGATTAAAAAAACTTAAAATTGATTATTATATATATTATAATATTTTGATTTGTAAAAAAGCATGGGGCAAAAGCATGGGGCCCAATACATACAAGTATTAAATTAATTTATTATATAGAAATAATCAACATTACAATACATACAAGAAGATGGAAAGAAGTGGCAAAAGCATGGGGCCCAAACATGAAGAGTTTGGGATATGACGTCATCAAAGTTGTAAAGATAGCGTCCACATAAAGGTGCAAGTATTTGTCCATATATGTTGTCTATATACGTCGGTTGAAAAGTCAAAGTGGATAACGATCTGTGTTATATTCCAACAAATTAACGATACACACTTTTTTCATCAATCATAGTCAGACATTTATATTTAATTTTGGCGTTTTCTAACCCTACTTCCTCCTACAATTTTATACACCCCTATAGTAAAAGACAACGACTAAATGACAAAACTTAAATATTTTCATTTTTAACCTTTTTTATATTTTAACTTTTAACCCTAATTTTTTTATATTTTAACTTTTAACCTTTTACTTTTTTAACATGTTTTATATTATTATTAATTAATTAAATATTAATAATACATATTTTAAATATAAATTAAATTAATTAAAACTTTGATTTTTCATGTTAAATCAACATATTCACGAATAAGAGTACGCTCTATATAATAATAAATAACTATAAATGTAAATATTAAAAATATTAAGTCAAAAAATATTCAATATTGGGCTTATTTCGAAGGTATTGAAGCGACGATTATAATGGTGTAACTTGTTAAAATTAAAACATATTTTTTAAACATATTTTAATTGATATACAATTATGTATGTTAATTTGATCAGGGTATAAAATGAAAAATTTAAAAGGAAATGATATAAAGTGTATTAATTAACTAATTATAAGGGTAAAATATGTAAATTTAAAATTTTGAAATTC